ATAGCCCAACATTGCGGCGTATCTTCTGTAATATCTGGGCGTGATCCATCGCATATATTAAACATAAGATGCGCATCATACGCTCGATCACAAAAAGGACGACGTCCAGATGTAAGTTCCCACATAACCATTCCTAAACCATAGATATCTGAACTAAATGAATATTGTTTTTTGCTGAATACTTCAGGTGAGAGATATGGCATAATTCCATATATTTTAGATTCTGAATTTCCCAGATCTTCTTTTGCTGGTCGGCTAAATCCTAAATCTGCAATAAAGGATTCAGAGTCAGAACCATTTCTGTTCGTTTTACCTATTAATATATTTCCACTGTGTATATCGCGGTGTATGATTTTATTTTCATGAATCCATTTAATGCCTGTAGCAATATCCTTAAGAAGGTTTAGTTTCATATTCCAAGTAATATTTTTAAAATTATTTGATAAATATTCATTCAAACTTCCATGAGACATATAAGACATAACAAATATATAATTATTTGTATTTGGATCTTGTGACACTCCATAACATTGAACAAGTTGACGTATGGAGGAATTAGGCTGGCTTTCAACAATATTTTGTAACTACAAAAAGGAAGAACTCTTATAAATTTATTTATACTAATTTAGGTTAAATGGTTAAATTTATATCCATACCTCTTTTAAAAATGCAGAATTAATGTTAGAGGAATCTTTGAGAACTTTTAGCACAACTGTCGTATTTTTATTCCGTTTAACTTTTTTTAGTGTCCCTTTTGTCCATGTAGCAGTATAAACTTCACTAAAACCACCTGTTCCAATTTGCTTTATGTCTACAAAGTCCTTGAATGGGATCCACTCTAATCTATATTTAAGTTGTTTATTATGTGTTGCCTTAATTAAATTGTCAATATCTTGATTTCCGCTATTACTATTCAAGAATCGTCGTGCATTATAACAAGCAGTACATAACTTATTATTTTCATACTTAAGTTTTACTTTTCTATTACAGCCGGTGCATTTAGTTTGTTTTGAATTGCAATAAATGCATAGTTTATTAGGTTTAAGTTTTCGATTGTTACCACAGTTTACGCATTTATCCTTATTGTGCTTCATAATTAACTTTATCTAATTATTGTATCTGGAAAGTGAAGAACCGCCACAATATTAAAGCTTGATATTTTACATGTAAAAGCTCTCTATATTGTAACAAAAATTCTTCTATACGGTATATAATTAGAAAACGTTAATAATGTGAGAGCGTAATAATTAAAATAATAATGGTAATCACAGTATAGTAAAGGTTAAATTTACCCTTTACTTGATGAAAATATGAAGATATTTATTCATTTTTAAAGATCATTTCGGCGGATTGGCGGAATTGGACCTTTTTTAGATTATCTGAATTTGAACCCTATTCATTTTATTAATCATTAATAAAATATGTCATTCT